AGTTTGTTCTTGGTTGGACAAAGGCTATGGAAGCAAATCCAAAAAGAAAAGCAGGCTGAAATCGGAGTCAATGGCCTCAATGGCGCTTAACCAGTTGACACGTAACGCTTAATTGTGTTGGAGGCGTGGTCGAGTCGGCAAAAAGCTCATGGTTGATAAATTCGAACAAAGTCTCGAGTTCAAACCCACTGGCAGATAAATCTCGATCCCCTTCAACACTAATAATTAAGAACGAAGAAGAAGAAGAAGAAGAAAAGTTGGCCACGTTCCTATGTTACTGAGTAGAACAGTTTTTCTATCAGTCTAGTGAATGAATATTTACTCTGGCTAACGCGGCCCAGCCTGAAAACGTGGTGGTCTAAAAACCACTAGCTGGGAAACACGACTCTATGGCACTCCTACGGTTGAGTCGATGGGCGATGAATAGCCGTTAATAACACATTCTGTTGCCTCGGGCATTTAGAAATAGTCAGCTGTCTGCCGTCAGTGACTAAGCTTTAAATGGCTTTTATCCCCAGATTTTTATCTGGCTACTCCGGTGTTAGGGAAGAGCTTGGGGTTTTTCATGTTCGGCCATAATGTTTCTCTTGCGAGGTTTTTTTTCTGGATTGTCATATTGGCTTTTTAGAACTTTAAGGTTATTTTTTTTTGTTCTGTTTGTTGTTGTGTTATATTCTGTATAAGATACTAGACTGCACAACATCTATACCTAGCTGTTGTTTGCACGAGATGATACTAGGATATCAAGATTAACTAAAGATTAAGTTAGGAGGTCATCCGATTGCGTGTTAGATTTGAGACGTTTAAAATAATAAGTTAGTGTCATTGATAGGTTTGGGACGGCGTGGCCTAGCAGTAGAGCGCTAGACTGCTCTCGAGTTCGAATCCGAGTTCACGTCAGTTGAACGACCCTGAGTCCACCCAGCTATGATGGGTACCTAACACTCGTTAGGGAAAATAACGGCGGATGGGCATAATGCTGACTCTTCATTTGCCGAAGTCACTGAAACAGAATAACTCTACTTCATCTACTCCATGTGCCTTGAGCACAAACGGGAAAAGATGATGATGATTGATAGGTTTGGGTTAGGGTCTGAAAGAGCGGGCTAGAACAGTAGCGAGATACATGTGGCTTTTTGTATAAACAAATGCGTCTCTTTGAACCCTTGAAATATGCTTGATTCTATTGTAGGTTATATGGCCCGTACAAACAAAAATATGAGAACTTATATTAAAATGAAATAAATACTTTAGAAAACCAACACTTAATTCATCTTAACCTTGTTTTTGTTAGGCCTTAGATCGAGGGCAGAGGCGTAGCGACCCTACCTGGCGCCCGGGGACAAACTTTCGATTTGCACCCGCCCCTCAAGATTTCGATTTGCACCCCCCCCCCCTCATACTTTCGATTTGCACCCCCCCCTCAAACTATCTCTTTGCACCCCCCTCAACCTTTCAATTTGTGTTTTTCCAACCCATTTTGGCGCCCCCTAAGGTCGGCGCCCGGGGACATGTTCCCCCCCCCCGCCCCACCCTCGTTACGCCTCTGATCGTGGGTGTCTTTAATGTTAGGAATAAATTTAAAAAAAAAAACATCGAGTAGGTTGAATGTCCATCTTGAAACTCGAACCCTATGTAGGGAATGTGCTGAATCTTCTGTCCCTGTCTCTATAGTCTACAGGGGAGTAGCATCTAGTTCAACTCCAGCAGAGGCGTAGCGACCCTTCCCAGCGCCCGGGGACATACTTTCAATTTGGCGCCCCCCTCTGGAGCAAATTTTCGATTTGCACCCCCCGCCTCGAACTTTTCATTTACACCCCCCCCCTCAAACTTTCGATTTGCACCCCCCCCCCCTCAAACTTTCAATTTGGCGCCCCCCCCTAAGGTCGGCGCCCGGGGACATATGTCCCCCCGCCCCCCCCCCCCCCCCCTCGCTACGCCTCTGAACTCCAGTCTGTTCCTTGAAAACACTGGCCTAAGATGGTATCGATTCCAGTGATTGGGCTAATGCACGTTTTAATATTTAATCACACGGGTCTTTATAAAGGATCATCCTGTTTGACTCCCATTATGTAGCCGTTTTTGGTTGGTTGAGCAGTATCGAACCGTTACGACAGTATCGAACCGGGACGAGAGTATCGAAACTTTACGACCTTCCTCAAACTGAATGAATGCTCCCGCTAACTCATTCATGAAATTCGAATATGTAATTTTGAGGAAAACGAAAGTATTTAAAATCTACTAAACATAATAAAATGGCGTATAGCAGCTTATTTATCATATAAGGCTAGGAATATATACTTAGGGGGTAGCATAGAGCCAGTATTACGATACGACCTCCACCCCGGATAATTTGGTTACCCTACACCTCATCTACAATTGCTCAGCAATAGTTTTGTTAGTTTTAAGTCATGGTTCGAGATCCCCGATTCTCATTGGCTTTGCATTGGTTAAACCTAGGGTTAAGGTTAGTGTTGTGGGTTGAATTTCCCTTATTGGCTATGCTAACTGTTCGCAGGGGCGTAGCGAGGGGGGGGGGGTGCGGACCGCACCGGGTGACACCATTTAGGGGGGTGACACCAAGGCAAAAAATAGCAAAATATATAGAGAAAAACTTGAGGGGGGGTGGGAATCGAAAGTTTGAGGGGGGGGGGGGGGCGGTGCAAATCGAAAACTTGAGGGGGAGGGGGGTGCAAATCGAAACTTTGAGGGGGGTGCAAGTCGAAAACTTTAGGGGGGGTGGTGGTGCAAATCGAAAGTTTGAGGGGGGGGGGGGTGTAAATTGAAAACTTGAAAGTTTGTCCCCGGGAAGGGTCGCAACGCGTCTGGGGGGGTGACACCATTAAGTGCCGCACCGGGTGACACCCGACCTAGCTACGCCACTGACTGTTCGACAGTAGATTTGATTACATTGACATTAACCATACTATTTTTCATTCAATTCAGTCACTCGTAGATCTATATTATCTTTGATAATTGCCTGTATTTGTGATAATAACTCTCATGTCCTATGTCCTATACCATTGCATGATAGTAGACAGGGGGGATCACTGTTAACGAAGTACGATTTAGCTCCATACGTTTCATTTTTGATAATTATTACACTTGTTACATCGAATGTAATTATTAGCAAAAGCGACGAAGAAGATCACTATATTTACGATGGCTTTATGTATTTTCCTCAACGGTAATCAGCAATTTAGTTTTTTTTTCAGGGTGGGGGTGGGAGTTGGCGAAACCCAAAACTTACTTCAGCTGGACTTATAATATAAATCAGGCCCAATTGATAAAATCCATTATAGCTTAAAAATCTATTTAAGTTCTTTGTTTCTGTATGAATAGTTTTCATTCTGATATGCTGTCTTTTTTCTGTTCCTCTATGCCAGGGGTCGGCAACCTGCGGTTCGCGAGCCGCATGCGGCTCTTTTGATGTCAAGATGCGGCTCTCCGGCTCCTTGCACACATATTAATGGTTATGTTATTTCATTTTCAAAACTGATAACAAAAATTAAAATGTAAAGACTCACAAGTTTAAACAGAAGAAAAAACTTGCCTTAAGCTCCATGCACAAATATTAATAATTATTTTTTAATTATTTTTAAAACTCATAAAAATATTAGTCTGTAATACTCGGTAATTAAAGATATAGATATAATAATAGCCATGTAAATTATTGTAAAGTTTCTAATTTCGAGAAGAGCTTGCTAAACTACTTTAATAAGTTTTGTGCGAAACATGTTTATGTTTTTATATGAATAAATATTATTTCATATTTTAAGCTATTTGTTTTAAATGTAATGTATATATATATATATATATATATATATATATATATATATATATATATATATATATATATATATATATTTATATATTTATATATTTATATATATATATAATATTGAAATAAAAATGTTTGTGGTTCTTTAAATACTGTGAAATGTGGTAATATGTAACTTATGGCTCTTCCGTCCCAAAAGGTTGCCGACCCCTGCTGTATGCTGTTGTTTAGTGTAATTTCTCACAACCACATGGTATTATCTGACAAAAACAATGTATTATTTGATAACCACAATGTATTATCTGACAACCACAGTATATTATTTGACAACCACATTGTATTATTTGACAACCACAATGTATTATCTGACCACCACAATGTATTATTTGACAACCACAATGTATTATCTGACCACCACAATGTATTATTTGACAACCACAATGTATTATCTGACAACCACAGTATATTATTTGACAACCACTTGACAACATCACTGTATTATTCGTTACCGTATGAAGTTGTAAATCAATTTACATCCCTAATCTATCGATCCTTATGTCCGATATACCAACATTATTATTGATTTTCTCTACACAAACATTGGGAGTGTTTCTACAGTGAGAAATAATTGTAAATAATTGTCTCGAATTACCCCCCCCCCCCCCATGGAAAATTTTAAGTGCGCCCCACCCCTACCGGACGTTTCAAGCGTTTCTCCACCCCATTTCCCGTCAAAATGTCTGAAAGAAACCTTGTATGTAAGCAAATGAATGTCGCTGATGGTTAGAAATGTAAGTAACGTTTATTTAAAACCATCTCATACCCTTGCCCCATTAGACTGTCTATTTTAGGGGCTCTATAAAGCTGTCTCATAGACTGGCTATAGTAGGGGCTCTATAAAGCTGTCTCATAGACTAGCTATAGTAGGGGCTCTATAAAGCTGTCTCAAACTGTCTAGGGGCCCTATAAAGCTGTCTCAGACTGGCTAGAGCTCTATAAAGCTGTCTCAAACTGTCTATAGTAGGGGCTTTATAAAGCTGTCTTATAGACTGTCTCATAGGGGTTCTATAAAGCTATCCAATAAGGCGACACAATTGTTCAAGTGCCACATTTCTATTTACTTTGAAATCGATGTTACAGAAGGATTTGTGTTCCACAACAATTAAACATGGTCCATAGTTCTCAACCATCACATTTTATTTTTCCGTTTCTTTTCCAGACGGAGTCAGCCATCCCACCACCCAACCACCCATGTTTTCCCGGAGAGATTCAGGAGTTCACAAACAGACAGACCCAGCTGCAATCAGAAGCCACGCTCGCCCTGGCACAGGTGAGGCTCAGGACTAAAAAAAAGTTTCGTTTAATTAATTTATTTATTATTAAAAAGTTTAATCTTGGTTGTCGGTGTTATTTTTGTTTTTAAAGTTGATAGATCAAGTATTTGTTTCCCAGGAAAATATATGTCAAATAGCATTATCAGACCAGCATTTAGATAAATTTTGTATGTAATTATTTTATGACAGTTTTAATGTTGTTGCTTAATCAATTATTACATCCAAATGATTAATTGCTGGTTCTAGGTTAAAATATAGCCGTTTGTTTTAGCTTAGATTTACGGTTAGGACTAGGTTTACTATTCGGATATTCGGTTTAGATTTAGTGTTAAGTATATATATATATATATATATATATATATATATATATATATATATATATATATATATATATATAGGGGTCCATGGGAGGGGTTATAACCCCCCTAACCCCCCTTGCCTACTCCACTGAGTATAACCTAACCCTTACTTTAATACTCCTTTGAACTTGATACTCATGCTAGTATCGATACCATAGACGACAATGCGAGTATCGTCGTCGCTACCCCCCCCCCCCCCCTTCCCCCACCGTTGATGGCAATGGGGCGGTAATCGTGGTTTGTAGCTCCCCATTAAATTAATACAACACAGAACCTTATCCCCCTTAATGGCCACACTGAAATCCCCACCCACAGATAAACCACGGTCATGACACGGGCTTTATATTTTATTCAGCGACGACTGTGTATTAAAATTGATAAAGGGGAAATAATTGTCCGCGATAGTTGCCTTGTGCTGTCTGGGAATTAGTGTGAGATTTTAGGATTGGCGAAGACTGGAATATTTCATGCTACTAACAGGCAGGCCTGTTGCCATGCCAGTGCTGTAGACTTGAGGGGGGGGGGGGGGGTAGAGATAAAACATCCCCCCCCCCAGCCATGGAACCCCAAGATGTCTCACGTTAAGCAACTGTTATTGGCGACGTCGTAGCTTCCGAAATACTTTTTAACTCAAAATAATTATTTATTGAACTGGCAAAAAAGCATATTTCTTCTTTATATTTTGCATTTTTAGTCTGGGTATCATTCCACTAAACGGTGTCACCTAGTGCGGGCCGCACCACCCCCCTATATATATATATATATATATATATATATATATATATATATATATATATATATATATATATATATATATGCCTATTTTTAATTGAAAATTCGTCTGCCTGAAAGAACTATGGCAAGATAACTCTGTTAGCAGTAGTGACCTCCCTTTGATAAGCAAATCCCTTGATTCGGTAATCACAATGATCTCATTCTCATTGTTTTTGTCTGACCGTGCACTGTTACGTATCTACCCCCAGGCATCGACGATGGCCCGGATGCAACTTGAAGTTGAAAAACAGGGCAAGAAAAAATCTCCAGTAGCAGATATGGTAAGCTGTGTGCTACTAGATCTAATTAATAATTCCTTTATTCGAGTCGACCCCTGTTGTATCCCTAGCAGAACGAGCCCCCAGCGTGGCCTCAACCAACCGGCGGGCTTGTTACATTGAGTTAAATATAAACTCAAAACAATAATATAAACAAACTCATTTCAATAGGTTGGAATTCCCACACTTGGACAAGGCCGAAGATTGCGGCTAAACAGAGGCAAACTTCAAGAAATGAACATAGCTCAACTACAAGTTCTAGTCAATGATCTCCATTCCCAAATTGAATGTAAGCTACTTCATTTTCTATAGTCATCTTATTCTTCAGTGGCATTATAACGGGGGGGGGGGGTCAAAGCGTAGCGACCCTTCCCGGCGAACGGGGACATACTTTCGATTTGCACCCCTCCCTCAAACTTTCGATTTGCACCCATCCCTCAAACTTTCGATTACTTTTTCCAACCTATTTTTGCGCCCCCTAAGGTCGGCGCCCGGGGACATATGTCGCCCCCTGACCCCCATCGCTACGCCTCTGGGTGGGTGGGGGGGGGGGGGGGGGTAAAATCAAAATGCTGTTTGTTAAACTAAAAAAATCATTTAAAGACATGACATGAGTCAGCATATCAAAAACTTGGTATAATATTTTTTTAATGCACTACACTGCAATCAAAAAGACAACTTACTTTATCAACTGCAACTGTTTTCAGATGAAATATCAAATTATTGTGCAGTGTGAACCAGTATAATTCTACTTACTTACTACTTACCTTTTTCAGATGTTCTATTTAGTATTTACTCATATAAATAAAAATAGCCTTACTCCATGTGTCCAGAAAATGCATGCCATAATTCATAAAGCATCAAATTCTATTGCAATATTTGGGTGTTCTGTACTTTGCCGGCCTATTTGGGAAAAATAATTATACAGTAGATAGTTTTAGAATGACAGGAATAAACCTAGGCTTAGTGCACTACAGTTCAGAATGAATGTATATATTGAAGAAACAATACTCTACATCAGGGGTCTCCAAACTACGGCCCGCGGGCTGGATGCGGCCCGCAATGTCCTCTCATCCGGCCCGCGGAGATCTTTTTGTCCACGGAAAAACCATTTGTTGGTGATAGATGAGGAACTTTGCCCAGAAAAATCAAAGACATGCCTAGAAGAAACTGGCCCCCGAGCTGAAATTTGATAGTTTGGAGACCCCTGCTCTACATTAACCCACACATCAATATATTTTTATTCTTGGTTGAGATATCTGTAAAATTACTTCATTATTTTTGTTACAGTGATGGAAAATTATGTCTGAGATTTTTTTTTTACTTTTGATGAAAAAAAATTAAATAATGTTTAAATGATGATAAAAACAATGTCAATAATTTTTTATAATGATTAAAATTCTGATAATAGTTCAGAATAGTAAAGAAAATGTGACTTAACTTTTTGGACAAATAAAAATATTTAAATCAATAATACTTAAAATTATTTTAAAAATATCAATAATTTATTTCATTTTTCTGCAGTGCTTAATGAAGATTTAGTTCATTTGTTGATAGAGAGAGATGACCTACACATGGAACAAGATTCAATGCTAGTGGACATCGAGGACTTGACCAGGTATGGAAGGACTGGTACAGACTAGCTAGCAGTTTTTTTTATTTCATGGCTTTGTGAGTTAAATCTACTCTTGTTATTGACATGCATGCTGCACTATAAAAAATATACAGAATTTTAATCCAAATATCAGCATGTTGTCAAGTGATTGTTGAATTAAGTTACTAACTGAATTTTAAAATGTTAATAATTCTGATAAAAACAAATTTAAAAATGGAAAATGACACCTCTCTAGTTGGCATTTATAGACTGGAATATAGATCAACAAAATACATTACCTGCATTATTTAATTTAATGCTGACTAAGCAGAGTTTTTTTTAAATAGATTCTCAGTGTCTTTCAGAAACCTTGCAATAATAAAGTTATGGGATTTATAGCTTATTGAGTTATTTCAAAACACCAAACAATAATCATTCAAAACTGCTTAGGGCTTCTTGAATCAAAATGTTGTTTTTCATGACATAGCAAAGTCAAATAGTTACTGAAGGTTTTGAGACAAAACAGTTATTAGAGTTCCTTTCCTTGTTTGTTGTTGTTTTTAACATATTGAGCAACATTTTAAAAAGTGTTAACCCTCCACTTGACATGGGCACACAGACCCACCCTCCCTCCTCTCCATTATTTTTAGCTTAACCCACATAAATCCCCCATAATTCATGTAAGCACGCCATCCCCCATTATTTAGATAGGCTGGCCATCGTCCATCATTTATGTAAACGGGCCCATTTCCCATTATTTATGTGGACTGGCCTTGTGGTTGGATTCATATGTAACCATTGCTGGCTAAAATAACCAAGTCTTTTGCGCAAATAGATTCAAAAGACTGCAGTCTGCATCAAACAAAACACACACAAAAACAGTCCCCAGGGGTAAAGTAGAACTGATCTCTTTTTTCAAAAGAAAGAATTGATCCTGCATTGAACTTGAGGAGGTTGTGATCAATGCTTTGTAAGGGCTTCAGGGGAGAGAAATTAATCATCTGTACACCACTTGAATGTGGGAGGATAATCAATAATCTGCAGCTGTAATATTTTATTGTGCAACTTAGCATTTGTTTGTAGAGAAATTATGTTAGAGGTTTTCTTGAAATCTGTAGGAATTAACATAATTTAAAACATTCTAGTTTTTGTAGGATGTTATCAAAATTTAAAACATGTAATTTTTATCCCATAAAATTTAACAAAAATTCCTTTGAACTCTCAAAATCTAAAATTTGAAAATTCTGGGGGAAAAAAACTTGTAAACGAACACAAATCTAGACTATGCAGTAAAAATATTTAGTCTAAAATAATGCTTTTAAAAAGAGACTTTTTAAATAAATAAATTAGTAAATCTTTTCAAAAGTTCTTCAAATTTATGTAAAAGTTTCCAAAAACTAAAGATAAAAATAATAAAACTAAGTTGAATATTATCTCTCCTATATAATATTTAATACATATTTTCCATTTTTTTAGCCACTGTCATGATCCTAAAGCCACCAACAACAATAAGTCAACTCAAAATAACAACAGACCAGCCAATCGAAGAGATCGACATAAATGATAAATACAGTTCTAGCCAATCAGAGTGGGTAAAGAATACAGCTGCAGCTGAACTGTTTTTACCAGTTTATTTCAAGAGCAGTGAAGATTATGTTTTTATCAAAACATAAAATAAAGAGACAATACTGTACATACATTTTTATTTGAAAACTCAATTTCTACTCTTTTCAGTAATGCATTTGAATTTTTCTTGTACTTTATAAAATATGTTTATATCAAATGGTATTTAGTGTACATTTACTGTATGTGTTATTATTTGATATGTATTAAATGTACATAAATATGAGTAATCAATTAATTGAATTTCATATTATTTATTTGCCAGGTTAGACTGGTGAGTGCAAGATGTTGAGGTGTTGTTTTTTTAAATGTCTCAGATTGCAAAAAAAATATTTTAAAAAATACAAAAAAAGAATAATTTTAATTTTTTTCTTGATTGTTTTATTTAATGAAGAAAGTTTTTTATGTATGTAATTACGAATGGAGTTGTCATTATTAGACAATATTTATGAAAACTATGAAATAAAAGTGTCATGTCAAGTATGATGATTGATATAAATGACAGAATATGATTTTTGCTTTTCTTTTAAAATTCTACTTAAATAATCTTTTTCATTCTTCTTATAGCTTTTTATTCAGGGTTACTTGAATCGGTTGATTGAGTTTGCTTGCGTACTTAAAATAATTCTCAAGATGATGGATGATTACTTTTTGTAACTATTCAGCAGTGAATGAATTAGTAAATGCACTAGTCAAAATCAATAAGTCCAATCAGTATTTTAGTGATATATTTTATATCATTTATAGTCCTTTTCATCAAAATTGAATTAAATGCTATGTAGAGTTGTATTATGATTAGTAAAGTATTTAATAAATATTGTTTACAATAATATTTGATTAGAGTTTTTATTTATTCATAATACACAATTTGCTTAATATTCTTTTTAAAAATTGTTATATGTATAGGTACTATGCTTAAAAATGTGTTGTTGAGTGAAGTATTTAGTGCATAATTTATACTGGAAAGAAAGGTTCTGCAAGTCATTTTCACATTTGACTTAATTTATTTGGAATGTATTTTTATTATACGTAACAAACATGTTTGCAATATTTATTTTTAAATGGATTTAGTATTTCATAGATATAAATTGTCTCCTATGAAAGTCTGACATATTTTTATAGATTGATGTAGCATTCTTAATTTGTTTAGGAAAAATTGGTGCACCCACATCAAAAAGCCTGCTTAACCTTAAACTCAAAACCACACTTGCTAATGATATTTGTAATGATAAAAATATATTATTATAAGAAAGTCATACTATGATCAAGTGCTGGAAATGATTATGGTATGCATTTTGTCATGTTTTTAACTTACCATGCTAGAGATAATTAATTATATGTAGTAGGCCTACCCTGTCATGTACTTTATGTTAGGGAATTTTGGAGGGAAGTTTTATATTTAATATTAACTTGATACACATTGGTTTTCTACCACATACACTGAAATAGTTAAACTAAGCTGAAAATTAATTAAATTACACATTTTAGTGCTCCTTAAGTTTTGCACTGACTGTAGTATTATCTTTATAATTTAAAAAATGTGTTAGAGATGTCTGTATTAATAGTTCAGCAATTGTATGTTAAAATAACTTTTGTTCTGGTTATGAAACCACTATTCAACCTCTTTTTGTTCAGTTTAATTCTAGTCATGACATTTTCCATCATTTTGTGATCTAGCTCCTGGTCAAGTAAAGGCCAGTAACTCTCCACATAAGGACTTGTGCTATTTCCTCCATCATTAATAAACTTAAGAGTTATCTGTCTTCATTAATTTCTCATTTATCTTTCCCAATTAAATTTCCAGGTAATTTAGGTTTTTTTCCCCTCCTTCTTCCCCTCCCCCCTTCCTCAATAATTAAATCAAATAAATCAATTCGTCTCAATTATTTTGCATTGTGTTGTATCTGAAGAATATATCTGCTAGATTGTCAGGCAAATTTAGACAAAGTATGTTAATTGTTTTAATTTTTGTTAACAATTTTCTGTTTGTGTGTCCTGATGGCTATTGTGATAACAAAGAGTGATAGAGTCGCTTGATAAGTAAAACTATTGTCCTTTATTAGAGTCAGTGTAGATCTCTGCCTGAGTTTTATACAATTAGTAATCAACAACTAAAGATAGATGTGTGTGCACACAAATTAAATTGCAAGTAATTTTTTCCAGTAATTCCCAAAACAATAAAATCCAAAAGTCTTCTCTATAAATGAAAGAGGATGCAATAATTTTTTTTGGCATACTGAAGAATGTCTCTATTTTACAACCAGTGTCTCATGATGTCCATTGAAATATGTATATGTAGATTACCAGTACAAAATAAATTGTATGCATACCTGAATGATTTGTTTTTATATTTTACATGTTCATTAACTGTTTTTAGAAAGACATCTAACAGGCATAATCATATACAGAATTAGTGAAAATACAAAAGAGAATTGGAATCTTGACAGCTAGAAGGGTAGGTTTAAGTAGAGCTCAACCATTTCTGATGCAATGGCAAAAAAATGGTGTGCAAGTACTTTTACTTTTTTAACTTGCATTATGTGTCTATCAGTTTCATTCAAGAATCTGTTGTGGGAAGGGGGGTACTGCACCCTTGGAGCAGAATATATACAATTTATACCCTTTGAAATTTAAGTGACCCTCACCCCTTCCTCCTGTGAGAGGAACTATGGTGACCATTAGAGCCTCATCAGTTGATATGTTCTGCCAGCTGATAACTAATTCTGAAATGAGCTTTGAACCAAAGTGTGAACTCAAGTCTTTTGTCTTCATTGTTGGTTGTACTCTCATTCCCATGAGAGAGGATCGCTATATAAAGATCTCAGAAAAAACATAGGGGATACAATATTGATCTCAAACTTATCCTTCTTTAAATTAAAGCAGACATTATTACAATGATTAAAGCATATACCTAAAAGAAATTGAGCTTGAGATTTTGTATATACCTAGAACTACTATTGGCTCTTCTTCTAATCTGTATGTTAATAATTTTGATTGAACATACAGTTGAGCCAAAATTGACCACAATTCCAGCTTACTGTCAACCTGTAAAATTGCTGTTGTATTTTAGTATGAACTAACACTTTTAAAACAAGACAAGTGTGGTTAGTCACCTTTCAAGTAGTTAACATAATCCTTTGTTAGTGAGCATCCCTGTATTTAATGTGAAATTAAATATTCAAATAATTTTTTTCAACTTTTATTCCACTTTGTTCAATAATGGTAACAACAGTAGGCACACAGTGTTAATTGTGTAAGGTTCATAAAAAAAAAACAGCACATTTACCTCACAGTATAATTTATGTTAGACTAGGATGAATTTTACTTTCAATTAAATATTTTAAAGTCGCATAAAAACAAATTTCATAATAATTTAAACATAACACAATAACATGAAAAAATACATTGTTTTACAAAAACAATGTTATATAAGGTACATTCACACACATACTCACACAAATCTCATAAGTTGTTTTTTTTTTTAAATATTGATTTTGAAAATAAATCTTGTTAATAAATAAATGCAATACTGGTGAATTAAAAATAGGTAGGCCTACCGGTAATTAGAATGTGAAATTGTAATTGTAACATTTTCTCAATTTAAAAAAAAATAATTTATTACACCTCAATTTCATCGATTGGCTCTGGGTCTCTGAAATAAACATTGATACTTTTATATGTTTTACTTTTAAATATTTATTTTATATATATATTCATTTAAAAAAATTAAATAACCAAAATTTAAAAAAGAAATTATGTCTAAAAACAAAGCCACTTACATCTGTTTACCCTCTGAAGATAACTGTATTTTCTGTTCTGTACTTTTTTGTTTCGTTTTTTTTAACAACCGTTCTTTTGTAGAATTATTTAAATGGCTGCCTGAACAATAAGATTTGTTTATCTAAGTGTTAAAATGAAAATCAAATTATATCTGATAAATTACTTCACACACAGTAGTTACCAAAAAAATTTAAATAACATTAATATAAGGCTCTATATTATGAGAGACAATTGGATGATTGATCTTTTGAAATTGGGAATGCTAAACCTGGGCAGCAAGATGAAAAGGGCATTACCAATACAAAGGCATAAGTCTATATATAAACACTAACTATAAATATCATAATATGAATATGAAAGTACCTTTATTTAAGTCTGCTATATATAATAAAATGGCTGCAATTAAACACACTGAAAAAATTCAAAGGATAGTAATTAATTATTATAAATACAAATGAGAAATTTTAAATTAAATACTACTTTTGCTTTCTAACATTTAAAAAAGTGTTTTATTAAATTACTTACAACAAAGCAAAGCCAAAAAAAATACTCCCAAAATGAGATAACCAAATTTCTCCAACACCAGACCAGCTAATATAAAAACAGCACCTAATCCAAGGTTTGAGATAGCCTGCATTCTGAAAATATTTTTTTTTAATTTGATTTGTTTTCTATTAAATAGACCTAAAACATTTCTAAAAATCACTTGATCCAACATAAAAAAAATAGTGAGTAAATTAGTTTGTCAGTTTATTACAGGCTGGAGTTTTTACAATATATTCTTTCAATAAAATATAATAAAACTATTTTAAAACACAGAAGAGTAAACATCTCACATGCCATACGCTGTACCTAGATGCTGTTTTGGCACAACAAAAGCCACAAGAGGCCAAACTGCACTAGCCAGGACAGAATATGCCAAGCCCATAATGACCTGCATAAAAAAAAACAGTTTAAGTTATTTTAACATTGTTACAGTATGATGTTTACTGGTAATAGCATTGTACAAGGGTAAATGTAGCTTTGTCTTAAATTTTTATGACTGTATTTTTTTGTTCACGCACACTCAAAATCAATGATAATGGGAATTAAAAAGCATCACACTAATTATATTTTGATAAAGTAATAATAAAATCAGTTATCATTTTTTTTTAAAAATGCACCTTGCCAGTTTATAAAATTTAGTGCAAGTGATGTTTGATGTCATATATTTGTAGTTCTAGATATTTTAAGAATTATTTTATTTCACTTAAATTTATCATTCATTACAAACCTCACATATTCCCTTCAACAGATTATGTATGATACTTTTATTTTTGTCTTGTTTGGTTTGGTGATGTTTTTTTTTTCTTTGTTTTTTTTTTGGTATACATTTTAACTACAATTACTAAGTATACGTTTTGACTGCAGTGTTTGATATTAAACTCACCATTGGGATGTATGGGTTAACAAATGTGAAGGCCAGCATCATGTGACTGACCAAGGCCAACAATATGCCACTGATGACCCAGAAAATGTTTTTGCCAGTTTTATCTATACAGAAACCAAGAACAGGGCAGGCAACTGCTGAAATTATGTACACCAAACTGTTCACAGTACTGGCCGTTGTTGGGGTTAGTCCAAATTTCATCGTGAAAAACACCCTTAAATAAAAAATTTAAAACATTTTCTTGAGCTTTTAGAACTCCAATACATTTTAACTGAAAATAAATAATTATAAATTCAACAAACTATAACAAGTCACAAAATAAACTTACAATGCTAAGCTGATGAAAGGCATAATCCCAGAATATGCTGTTACATTAATAAATGTAATAATCCAAAAAGTCTTTGGAAATGCAAGAATGTCCTTGACTTTAATTAATTCATCTTTAAAAAAAAAAATTATATCAATTAAACATTATTTAATATGTGTAAACTTCTATAAAGAATTATTCAAAGAAAAATATAGTTTATTTTAGTTAGCTATTTTGGGATCCACTTTTGTGTAATGTTGTTAAAGTACACAATTCCTTTGGCCTTGGTTATTTGGAGTTGCGTTTCAGTAATGCTATTCAAATAAGCATTTAACATTTATTCTCCTTAAAACTTATAAAAGTAGGATTTTTTAGGTAAAAAATAAATTGGCAAAGACGTTAAAAAGAAAGAAATAATATATAATAAAGTTAATTTTAATGTTTGTAGAGATAATTCAATTCTAAACTTACTGTTAGTAAATGTAAAATATTATTAGTCTGATAAATACAAATACTGATTAAAATATTTTTATTTTAAAAATTCAGAAGTTAATTTATTTTCATTGATATTTAACATTTTAATGTTTGGTTATTTAAAATGTAGAGTGCTCTTGAGTAGTCTAGAGTCTAGACTCCAGAGACCTATATGTGCTTAGGCCTACTATTTTATGGTTAATATTCCATATTGGCTTTTCTTCTATTTCATTTTAACTTAATTTGACTACTTTAACAGAGGACTTACAGTAATTATATTAAATAATAAAAATGTAATCTGAAATGTACTTTTAAAAAAAAGTTTTGAATAAGAACTACTAAATCTAGATCTTAATGTTTTCTATAAAACTTACTTTTGTTTACTTTAGTGCTAGAATTTATTTTGTCAGATCTTTTGTCGAAGAATGACAAAATTATTGCACACAATACAGGCACAACACACACCAGTGCAGCTAAGCAATATTTGAAAAGAAAATTAAAACATGTATCAAAATATTGTTATATAACACATAACTAAATAAAACATATTTTTTTCAATAAATCCTATTCTAAACCCCACCAATTCGTAACCACCACCCACCCACCCACCCCCTCCCCAACCCCACCTCTTTATTATATTTTCATGTCAATGGAATGGATGCTGTAATGTAAGTTCTTTTTTTTTTAAAGAAAAATGATTTTTCATTTGTTTTCATTTATTTTGAATCAGCAGTTCCCTACACTATATCTTCAACAAAACCACAACTAACTCAATCACAAAATTTTTTTTTTTTTAAATTTTACATGACGCATAAGCACTGTTACGGTTGATAGGCCTAGATCTCTATACCAACTATGAAGCACAGCACCAGCTTTTTTAAAAAAATGCAAAAGGGAGTGAACTACGCTACATACTTATGAACAGAGTTACCCCTAGTCCTTTGTGTCCGTGTACTACTTGGTCCACTAAGCTATGCAAGCGTTGCATAACATTCATTGAAATTGTGCTGCCCTAAAAATTAAACAGAAGTTATATTTAAAATGTGTGGGGGTTGTTTTTATTTTCTATTTTTATTAGACCTATATAATTGTTTTTAAATTCTGTTTCCTTCTTTTTCTCTAATTTACTAATTTACCACTGTATGTATATATATATATATATATATATATATATATATATATATATATATATATATATATATATATATATATATATATATATATATTTCAGTAGTTTACAGATTTGAAGAAATAAAATGGGCTTGAAAATATCAAATACTAGTATAAGATACCACTGCAGTTTTTTTTTTTTTTTTTTTTTTTTTTTTTTTTTGTAATTGTACACTTAATTTAAGACATTACATTTTTAGTTGAGAGGGGCCTACTAGGCGCCAACAATTTTAGAACCGTCCCAACCGACTCACCACACGGGAAAAACTGAGCAGAAGACCAAACACCATGTTTAGCTCGCTCTCTTTGAACCACTTGGTGATGTAGGTGCTCTGTGCGATGTAGAGGGACTCTTCTCCAACACTACAAAATATATTTTTTACAGCCCACACAATTACAAGCAGGCTCGATTTTGTGTAGTTATGTGTTAATCTATGCAGTACATTAGATCACTAATCGATGAATTGATATGCTAAATAGATAGGCCTACTCTAACACTAACAATAAATTTTAGAATTTATGAATTTTTTAAAGCTCGCAGTGGTTTCATGAATGGGGGTTAATAATATGGTCCCCAACGATGATATACTTAAGTGCGAATTGAGAACAATTATTAAGTCAGCAATTTAGCAAAACCGAATGTAAAAATTAATACGATTATAGTACTTTCGGGATGTGAGATGATGTAGATTTATGTAAAGGCCATTGGGACAAATGAAGTAGAGTTTGTCTGCTATTATGACCAAATGGGCGTCCATTTTGACATTATTTTTGGGGTGGGGTGATACCAGGGTGAAAAATTGCAAAATATAACGATAAAACATTGTTTTTTAGTTAATAAATAAGTCTGAGTCGACTGCAGATTGACACATTCAGACAATGGGGAAGGGGATTGCCAAGAAAACAAGTTAATTAAAAAAGTCTAGTGACATTTATGCGCAATTTCCTTATGTTATCTAAAAATAGCTCTGACGTATAATGATTGGGTGCGTTCAAGCTTGAAGAGCGATCGGTTTGTAGGTGTTTATGTAATTTTAAAATTTGTGACCGAACGAGAGGATATTTTTGAAAACTTTCTTCGGCAATACTGTTCTAAATTATGGCAGGAATCGATTGGTACATGTTTCAAGTCGCTAAGTGGTCTGGTTGCCGAGATATGGGCCAAAAACTGCATTTTTTCGAGGTTTTTTGGCTTTTACGGGAAATACATGAAAGAAACCCGGAATTTTTATGGCCTATGCTCATTCTCGTAACTTGCTTAATATAATTGCTTTTGGAACTAGTCATCGATATTGCTTCGTTGAGGAGGAGATACGACTTAAAGCCCGGACACACATTCATCCATCCATCCATCCATCCATTCCCAGAAATGACGAGTTAATAAACGCAATTCTCCAGAATGGAAATTGCGCTAAAAATGGTTAATTATGAAGAAAAAAAAACTAATGAATTTTTAGATTTTGTTTTAAATCTGATATAAGTACAGGGTTACTGTCTTTGCCACCTCTCCACTCTCCATCTTTACTTTAAACTTAACAAAGGACACAATAGTTATCTCAAATGATGAAGATCTTACCCCACAACAAATCTACCAGTGCACATAAGAGTGTAGAGTTTAAGGTAGCCTCCTAGGGAGAAGAGAGCCTGTAACAGAAGAAAAGAAAATAGCCAAAGTTAAGGGATAAATTTCAATTTTTTTTTAAACGATCAAATTTATAAAAAGATGATCAAATTTTAAGATAATAGACTAAAAATGAGTTTTTATATTTTAGATTAAAAGTCTTAGTTAATTTAAAAGTAATATTTGAGAATTAGATACAATGCGCCATATTAAAATAAATAATCAGGCCAATGCACTTCAAGTTGAGAGGTTGATATCTTACTACCATTTTGTATTCGTTATTGGTGTTCCGATTGAAAAAAAAGTGAATAGTAAATAAATAAATCAACGACAAATAAAAGTATACAAATGTCAGATATTTCATAAAGAACAGCAACTTGTTTGAACTGACCTGTCCAAGGGCAACGAAAAAGCTGAAGACGATCGCCCCCAGTCTGACGCCAAACCAGCGGTCAATCAAATAGCCACCCGCGACACACAACACAACGTTGGGCCAGGCCTCGACTGAGTAGAAGGCCATGAACTCTGTCTCTGAGAGTTCAAGGTCACGTACCATCACATCCTGCAAGGCTCCGGGAATGTCGTTGATAAAATAACTTCCTTTAAAAAAAACATAAATCAAAAGATTTTTATCTATGTAATGCCGTTTGGGTCTGCCATGGGTTGGGGTTGAGGACAAAGGTCATGGCTAGGATCAGGCCAATTTTAGGGAAGCAAAACAACTCACATTACGACCCCTTGAGATTACAGAAAAATTACCTGAAGAAAGTAAACATAGTATTACAAAGTAACACTATTTACTTTGCTAAAATAAAAATAATAATATAAAAACTATCTTAATTTCAGAAAAAAAGAACGTAAGCTAAGATACTTTAATGAAAATATAAAAACTTTATCATGCTTTCTACTGAATAATTTCGATTTCCAAATTTGGATGCGCAACCTCCCGTTGAGGCGATCACTAGTACTTGCGTAGAAATGGATGTACAATAATATTTCATTTACAATCATTTGTTTATATTTAATACAAAACGTCAGTTTTATTTGATCAAACCAGATATTTAAATGTATTGGTTAATTAGTTTGATTGCTAGTTAGCAGTCCGGGAGAGGGAAAGAAAGGAGGTGAGACTCTACTACAAACACCCAAAAGACACATGCCCGAAGGCCGTTACCCGAATACAACAAATGCCCGAATGGAAATTTCCCAGAAAGCGACAGATGCCGGAATGGGATTAAGCCCTATTGAGACAAATGCTGGAAAGCCATTTTCCCGAAGGCCGTTTGCCTAATGGACGCTTGCCCGAAAGCAGTTTGCCCAAATGCTACAATTGCCGGAATTGATATTTTCCCAGAATGCGAAAGATATCCGATGGACGTTTGCCCGAATGGGACAAATGCCTGACAGCCACGGGCCCAAAGGCCGTTTGCCCGAACAGACAGTTGCCCGAAAATATACTTATGATCAAAACGTATGTGTGCATCACTAGAAAATTAAAAACAAAGAGACTCGGGCAGATGGGGCTCGTTAGCTGGGGACAGCCACTCTTCTAGGAGAGACAACCCCAAAATCAAACAACTGCTGCCTTGTAGTTTGTTCTTGGCTGGACAAAGGCTATGGAAGCAAATCCAAAAAGAAAAGCAGGCTGAAATCAGAATCAATCGCCTTAATGTCGCATAACAAGTTGACACGTATACTTAATTGTTATGGAGGGGATCCCTTCCAACACTAAAATTAAGAACGAAGTAGAAGAAGAAGAAACAAAGAAAAAAGCTTTAGAAAAAATGTGGGAGCCTCAAACTCACAATAACAAAACATTTTTTCGTTAAATCAGCAGACGTTAATAGACCTAACAGCGCTACCGCAGCCCATTCTAAAGTGACATAACGGAATAAGGGTTGTTAATGTAGGCATATGCCGATAACCCATCAATAAGAACTAGGTTTGTTAATTCGTGACTGTCCTATGAGATAGTTAATTAGTAGAAAAATTGTACAAAAACGTGTCATGTTATTTGTACGGTTATGTAGTAACACTCAGTAACTCTCGTACAGGTAATAAATGTTTAGTTGACTCAGTTACATTGGACTCTATAATTGCATAAAGCTTATACCTATTGTTTGTTATTTTGTAAGAAAAACATTTTTAAAAAAAACATGTCACTGGACCACGACAAACAAAATGGCTTCCACCGTCTGATCACCGTGCAGACGATAATTCGAGCATTCGTCGCGCGTGACCTTGTAAAGAACTAGCATGGCTAAGAACTATGTCATGGCTACTAGATAGGCCTACTACACAACTGGGTTGGCGTTTTTCGACAGAAGCTTGAAAAACCTTAGATAATTTCGTTTCTTTTTTTTTTAATAGGTTGTTTTTTAACATTGACACATTTTTAAAGACTCCCATCTGACTATATTGTTATATATTTTCAGATCACATTTTGGTTTGGGCAGCCATTAAGATTTGCCAAGATTATTTTGTAACTTGCATGAAAATTTAATATAAATGAAAACTATACGAAATCTGAGATAACTAAACTTAAACTGTTGGCACGTCTTGAGCTTACCAAAAGACAGGCAACAAATCAGAGTGAACACCGGAAAGTACCGGTGTAGCCAATGATGAGGGCTGCATACGTCACGTGGTTTTTCCCTTTCAATAATATCCTCATTGGCTTGCTCTGCACGCTTATAAACAAAGCAAAAAAAGAGAAAATATTAAAGTTTGTTTTGTAAAAACAAAAACGTATTTTTCATTAAAACAATTTTTTTCTGTTGTATTCTAAAGCCCCCCAATTGCCCTTCACCCATATGCACTACGATTTTTGGGACTTCCTTGCAAATTAAAACATGTGGGGTTTTTTTTAACAGAGATGCCTTTGTCAAATATTCCCACCCCGGGCGCCAACCCTAGGGGCGCTCCAAACGGGATAAATAGAAATAAAAAGTTCATTTTGAGCTATATTACTGAATTATTCATAGTCTAAGTTTTAAAAAATGGACTAATTTGACTATTTTCTACATCAATTGTGTGTAATCGTAATAAAAATTATTAGTTACAGTTACTATTAAAAGGTGTCCAAACCTTTCCAAATGAGGAGGGGGGGGGGCGCCATTTCGCCACTTTTCGCCAACTTGAACAACTATATGGGGGCATTGAATTGATGCTTCGCCCCAGCCCTGGAATGGGTTACCACGTACTTGAGGCCAATAGCTGTAACTTAATCACGAGTTAGCTTTCCTTTTGGGGTTCATGGAGGGAGGGGGTTAGGTCCCCAACAACCCCTGTTAAAAAGTAAAATACATCCAAATGTCTTACCTGAATAATATTTCTTGCACCATCCAGCGGTGTCTTCAGATCTTCATCTTCCCCTAAATCACCCATTGTGGTCAAGCACGAAAATTTATCCCTTGTGTTTCTGATTTGACTTAGTCCTTGTAGCGTGTCTTTACCGTGTTAATAACTGTTAAATAACATTGAAACTCAAGGGACTTAACTCTAATTTTGAAAGTTGTTTCCCTTGGGAAGATGATTTGTATATTTAGATTAGCATAATGTTGCAATGATTACATTTTTTTTCACAACTATAACTTCAATTACATATCCTAGCATTTAAAACATCACTCCATTCTACCATTTAAAGAACATCTTAAATGAGTTTCCATTTTTATTCACTCGTAAAAACGTTACAAACTAATCTGACCTGATTGGTCAGTTACATTTTAATTACTAAACGGCATTAAGATAATCAAAGAAAGGCTGTTTTTTTAATAAAAAAAAAAAACACTATGACTGTGTAACAATAACAGGTTGTGGACTCCAGACCTAACTCTACCAATATGTAGGTATTTAGAAAATTAAAATTGTACTGATACTTACAGTCAGTTCCCAAAACAAATACTAGCATATGGTTTTGTCTCTTTAATATAAATATGAAATTATTTACACGCACTGACCACTCCATTACAGTAGATTGAGAAAACATGTTCCCCTTATCTCAACCAAGTATCACTAGAATAATTGTAGACAAAAGAATATTAATTAGATAGATCTGTATTACTAGCTAATCAGGAATTAATTAGGCGTGTTAAGTACCGAGCTAGGTTAATTTTACGCAGACTAGTGTGTATGTTATTTTAATATATTACATTTTACGCCATAGCTACGATTATTATAAAAAATAGTAGCTTGAAAAAAATCCCTTCATCAACACCGCATATCTTCATTTATTGTGAAGTTCTTGTAAGGATAGTCGAACATGAAACGAATGGTTTAGTTCATAACATTAACGAATCTCTTGATACACAACAACATGAAGATGTTTTTATATTATATCATCTTTTGTATTATTTTACTTGGCAGTGCTACACACAAGACTAACACACAACAACTCACGTCATGTTAACCGCTAATACTCACCGTCTGCTACACGTGCGTCAAGCACGGCTGGTCCTTACAACCGCACGGCATTGTTAGGCTTAACAACCCCCCTTTACAACACAGGCGTGTTCGTGTGTAGCACGCTGACCTACTAAGTTGGAATGAATGTGCCTTAATTGATTAGTGCACCACCTCATGTCATAATTCTCAGCGACAGACTCGCAGAAAGGACAAAGGTTAATCGATTGTGTAAGTCAAGTGGATACGGTTGATAGAATATCTCACCTCATGTGTCGAAGTTGTAATGTACAGGAAAACAGGTTATCTAAATACATTCTTACCAATTATTTATATGCACTTTGACTAGAATCTACCACTCGGTTTTATACTTTTAGTTAAATCCTGAATGTACTACAAGGTAATAAACATTTTTAGTGGCTACAATTTTTAAAAGCCTTTCATAAACCTGATAAATAGTAAGGCCTGAGTATTGTGATAGTAATGATATGACAATAAAATTATATCTATGTAGCCTATATGCCGAAACAACATTTGTGTTATTGTAATAATACTATGAATGATGTATATATATATATATATATATATATATATATATATATATATATATATATATATATATATATATATATATATGTATATATGTATATATATTGTAATTAATCAACACATTTTGTCTAATTTAATGCATGTAAACGGAAATTTCAATTATATATAAATCGGGAAATTTAAGACCTATTTTCAGTTGGAGAAATTCTTAAAATCTAATTTTAGATCACGTGTGACCTAGGTAAATAATAGGCATGAAAAGTCGATGTAATCATACTAAGTTTTTGAAAAAAATCTCTTTAAATAATTATAGTTACATTTGTAAAAATTAAAGCCGTTTGGGAACCATCGACTGTACTCATTTTTATATTTTTGTATCGAATATATGCCGTAGAAAAGCCGTTTAGAATTATTCTATCACTTCAAATATTTTTTAAAAAAACTGCCCTCAACATCTCCTTGAAGTCAACCAGAATAGCCAGGGAGCTTAAAAAAAGTTAGAATATTGTTTTCCATAATAAAATACAACATTGTGACTAAACTGATCCAAATTAAAAATAAAAGTGTTTGCTAAATTACTATTATATTACTATTACTAGTAATTATTTCTTTGACTATTTCTAGCCTTGATGAAACCGGTAGTAATTTTGTACTTACTGCACAAATGTTATAAAATACTCAATTTTGGTTGAAAAATATGCTTTCTGGCAACAAAAGTTTGGAACCATTAGGAACCAGCTTTTCAAGTCTATTGTGGAAAGTAAAGAAAGCGATACACGAAAAAACAGAAAAACATGGTGCGGAGGTGGGGGGGAGGAGGTGAGAGGATGGGAGGAAGGGGGAAGTCGCGATTAGCAAATGCCGTATTATCATGACTATGTCGAGAAAAGTTAGTAGATCTATATAGGTCTAGTACTATATCGTGTAAGGGCCTACAACTTAGCTAATAATAACTATTGTTAATCTGTAGGCTTATGCAGGGCCTTAGTTTCATTGTTGTGGTTTTAAAATGTAATCTAGTAACCTAATCCTTCGACAAAAATATTAATTAATTTATTATTTAATTATTAATAATAATAAGTAAATACATAAATAAATAAATAAATAAACAAAAAAATAAACAAAAAAACAGCAAAAAAAAACTAACAAATTAACAAATAAATAAACAAACAAACAAATAAATAAATAAACAAACAAAAAACAAACAAATAAATAAATAAATACATAAATACATAAATACATGTGTGTGTATTTGAGTGTGTGAGTGCGTGCGTGTCTGTGTGTATTTTTTTGTATATATAAACAAAGATCTATATATACATAAATTATAATAGACTTTCAATATTTCAATTTTAAACTTTTCTTTCCCTTTCAAACCCAAGCCGAGACTGAACAGTAAACCACTTTTTGCTTTCTCCAAAGAGTTTCATTTTACATATATTGGCTTGATCACAACACTGTCCACACATCACTTTTAAATAGTGGTCACTACAAAACAATGTCTAGAGACCGTCACCTGTTTCGTAGGCTATAGTTTCTAATTGTAAAAAATTATTGAACAACTAATTACTCTTTGTTCTGCATTGTGATTTCTTGCGTTTTGAAACTAGTTTTACTACATTCCTACACATTATTTATTGTTTTAACATTAACCACATGTAGTTAACATGTTAATTTATATATATATATATATATATATATATATATATATATATATATATATATATATATATATATATATATATATATATATATATATATATATATATATAATTATCTTCGGCCAACGCCAGTCTTTCTCCTTGTCCTTTTTGTTTGAACAAATATCTAAACAAAAAAGCACCACTTTCCTGAAAATTGTCCTAGGTGAGCTTGCTGCTCTCCCCGCTTCACCCCCCCCCCCCCCCCCCGCCTACGCCTCTGAAATATAGCCGAAGTCATAATACGTTATACTAATTATTTAACAGAAGAAGGTTGATTTCGTAAAGATATTGTCTCAAATTTTGCATGAACGAGAAAAAAGAGCAGTATTAGTATTATCATTTTTTTCTAACAAAAGAAACACATTTTGACACATTTGATGGCAATATTTTTGACATTTTAATTTTTTTTTTATATTTAACGTTTAAAATTGATATAATATACACACACGAATTCACTGAGATACTTGTTTCCTCTATATCAGGCTTGGGTGAGTTTCTGAAAACGATTTCAAACCATGTGCATAACTTGGAATTTGTAAATGATTAAGCGATTGTCAAAAAGTTTATAGTCTAAAACAATGTATACTCTTAAATTGTATCTAAACATTAAGAAAGTCAATCAGCTTACAATTTGTTCATCCTGTAAATGTTTTGTTTCCTAGTTCATTTTGTTTTCATTTCTGACAAGCCCTATCTTTTGTAGAGCGATTTAAATGGCTATCTATAAATAGATCAATATTGATTTAAGAAAACATTTATCATGATGATATAAAAAAAATATAAAACGTAAATGGCGGCTAATTTTACATAACATTTTAAAAGTGTGCTGTTTTCTAAAAACTATGAAATATAAAATGCTTCTGAGATAGACAGAGAATAGTTAGTATTCTAAACAAAACAGTTTAAAATGCATTACCTTTATTTAAATCTACAAGATATAATAAAATAGCAGCTATTAAAGACACTGTGGACAAATAAAATACTTTCAAAATTCATCATGTAGTTGTTGACAGTTACATGTTCGTAGTTAGTCCTTGATATTTAAACTTAAATTACACTAGTGATTTTCTTTTATAAAACACTTAGGTCTAAAAATACAAAAACTATGTATAAAATTTAATTTAATCTTTGAGTATTTTATAATATTGCATAAACATTTTGACTTACAACAAAGCCAAGCCATGAAAAATATTTCTAAAATGAAGTATCCAAATCTATCCAATACCAATCCTGCTAATATAAAAACAACACCTAATCCAAGATTTAGGGATGCTTGCATTCTGGAAAAAAAACATATTTCATTAAATTACGCTTCAATTTTTATAAATGTTTATTTATTGTAATGTTTTGCTGAGTTGTGATAATTATTATCTTTCTTTGTTTTTCTGTAGAATTTGTTATCTGTTTTAAAATAAAAATAAAAAAAGAAATAACTTGATTATTTTAGAAATATTTTTTAAATATTTTAAGTAACTTTTTCTTTTTGAAAACATGCTTAATATTATGTATTTGTATTAACTCAATATTTATACTTTTGGGTTTTTTTTAGATTTAATAGGAATTTTTTTTTACGTTTTACCATCTAATTTTTAAAATTGCGTAACTTCCTTTGAATTTAAAAAAAAAAATATAAACACTCCTACCAATGTTTTGTATGTATTTCTAGAATAGAACTAATTATTATCATCCTTATTTTAACAAAAAAATAAACAATTTAAAAAATATTTATAATAATAAAGTTGTTATATGCAATTTTTAAAAAAGGAAAAAAAACCTAATTCGCTTTCTTTAATAAAAGCCTATAGTTGCTCGTGAAATCTACACATTTTGGTGATCAAAAGAGAAATCTCACATGCCATAAGCAGTGCCCAACTGTTTTCTTGGTACCACAAAAGCTACAAGAGGCCAAATCGCACTTGCCAAAACAGAATATGATAAACCTAGAACAACCTGGTAAAACAAACATAATAAAGGTTGTTTTTTTTTTATTTTAAACATTTTCTATATTTTTATTACAGAAGATAATACATATTTAATACTTTTAAAATTATTTCAGGAAACGAATATTGGTGTTTTTATAAATATTACATTCGGATGAAAACCCATTAAAATTGCTGCTGCTATATTGCACTTCAAACAGTAATGTAACAACTATAAAATATTTTAATAGAAATTGGAAAAAATGAAAATAAAACCAAAAAGATATTCAAATTATCTAATTGTAATACCATTGTACTAAAATCAATTTCTGCAAGTTAAAAATAGTTTTTTTAATAGTTGCTTTTTTTTTTTAATTTTATAATGTTCTCTAAAAGTCATGCTCGTCGATCAGCCTCGCTGGAACAGGAACAAGATTCATATTCGATTAATCATTAATTTAACAGGAACAAGATTCATATTCGATTAATCATTAATTTAACAGGAACAAGATTCATATTCGATTAATCATTAATTTAATTTTCTTCTTTTTTAATTATTGTTTACATTACTAAACAATAGAATAAACTCACCATTGGGATGTATGGGTTAACGAAGGTGAAGGCCAGCATCATGTGACTGACCAGGGCCAACAATATGCCACTGATGACCCAGAAAATATTTTTGCCAGTTTTATCTATACAGAAACCCAGAAAAGGGCAGGCAACTGCTGGAATTATGTACACCAAACTGTTCACGGTACTGGCTGTTGTTGGGGTTAGTCCAAATTTCAAAGTAAAAAACATCCTGCATTCAAGTATAAATCAATATAAGTTTAAATTATTTTTTCAGGATAACCATTGATATCCACAGTGTATCCATTGATTAACTCAAAATTGGTTTCAAAATAAAATAAAACATTTTTTGAACGAAATTTTCAACAACAAATAAATATTTTTTTTTACATAAATATTAGTGTCAATTATTTAATGTTATGTTTATTTTAATATCAAATAATATCAAATAAATAATCAAATAAAATATCAAATAAAACCACGAATATTTGATTGATTGAAATTTAAAAAAAAACGCATATAGCTATTACCAATTGCAATAACTTATTAATTTGCTAATTATTAGTATTACAAAGTTTTATATTTTAATAACTTACGGAAGTATGAAATTTTTTACTAAAACTTTTTTATTAGCCCAATATTTTTTGCTTTAAAGTTAATACTTTTGGATATTTTTTCCCACCCTAAAGCAAATGTTTTAATTTTATTCAAACCTGAAAAAAACATAATAAAAATGAAACTTTTGATAAAAAAATATATTTAGAATAGTTTTATACTTATAGTATAAATAATTTTATACTTGACCTACTTACAATCCTAGACTGGTAAAAGGCAAGACCCCAACATAAAAAGTGACACAAATAAAAGTCATTATCCAGGTCGTCATTGGTATTTTTAGAATGTCCTTCAGTTTGATCTTTTCATCTGGTGACAAAAATCAACCTTTTTTTACTATTTATAATATTGAGAATCCATGCATACTTAACTAACATTCTTGCACAATCCCATTGAAAATTTTAAAATGTTATGGGTTAATTAACTCCATGTCTGTGTTTCAAATTCAGTTTTCTCCTTTGATTTTCGCATGCTAAGGTTAAAAAGTATAATAAAAGATAATGTTACACAAGTAATTGAATACTACAAATTAATGTCACGCTTTTATTTAATTTTTTTTGACGATTTTATGTCCCAACAGCACTCACCGATATCATCAAACAACATCATAAAGTTTAAAACATCTTTAACAAGTGTCCTCCCCTTCCCCCAATGTAATCTTAAGTCCCCCACTTCTCCCCAACGAATTTTTAAAAGTCCTCCCTGCTTTCTGTAGAAAAGTATCTGAAAGAAACCCAGCCTTCTTTCTTAATTCCTTTCATTTCTCGATGACATTTTTTTTTTAAAATTACAAATGAAAATAAAAATTTCTTAAATTTCGGTTCATTTTGTTGTTAAAAACAATACAAAAGTACTGTGAGGCTATGGTTTCACTTCTAACTGAGATGGGTTATTATTGTGGAAGCTGATGCGTTAAATAAACAACATTATGTTTATTGTTTAAGTGTCAACATCGTACCTGGTTCAACTTTGGATCTGGACAATATTTTGTCCGCTCTTTTGTCCAAAAACGACAAAATAGCTGCACATAAGGCTGACATAGTGCAGACAACCACAGCTAGATAAGAAAATAAATTTCAAAACAATTAATGAATGAAAAATATTTAATGTCGTGGCAGTTATGTTAGAAAAAAAACTACTTATTTTTTCGTGTATTAATAAACGCATACTTGGGCAAATTAAAGAATTGTATTGAAGGGAAGTAAGCATTGCTACTTACCTAAGAACAGAGTTATGCCTAGCCCCTTGTACCCATGAACAACTTGGTCCACCATGTTATGCAAAGGCTGCATTACGTTCATTGCTACTGTGCTGGCCTGAATGATTAGATAAAGGATTTTTTTTAAATAATATTGTTTTCCGTGGTTTTTATACAGACTTGCACAATATAGGTCACACCGTCAGTCAGTCCGTAAGTTTGTTTGTCTGCCTGTAACTAGGTGTAAGTTGGCGGGTTTATGTTGGATCATTTTACTCAGTTTAGACCAATTTCTAATGTATCGAGTCTATCCAACCTTCAAAGGAAAATCCGTTTCCTATAACAAAGCAAGATTATCTCATTTTAATGTCATTAGATAATAAATCAATCATTAGCAATAAAGAAAATTAAGTAATATATTTAATTCAAAATGATCAATCATTAAATCAGCAAGGTAATTGAGATGTGATATTCTCAGCGTATATTTTCACACATTAGAGCTGACCATGTATGCTAATTAAGGAGCAGACAATTTTCGTATAGAGGTACTCAAGCTATTCATCAAGTTATAGTGCAAATATTTTCAATGTTGTTGAAACAAACGGAATGTGAAAAATAAAAATGTATTATTTAATAAAAATGTATAAAATTTAAAAAAAAAAATAAAGAACTAAAGCAAACTCTCTTTCTATAAATATAATAATAAAAGGGTTTGTTATCTGTGAAATTTCTAAAACATTTTGGGGACCATATATAAAAAATAAATGAACGGATGAACCATTCTTTTTTTTCGTTGCATTTTCAAGTTGTTTATTATAAAGACTTATTGTTGTTTTATTTGTAAGCAAGGGATCCAGAAATCAGACGAATTAATTCTGATTAAATTTAAAAATAAACATCAGTGTGCCGATTCTGCGTTGACTTTCTATAATAAAGTATTTTACATGAAATAGTTAGACAATCACTATGCAGGAAGGGGTATACAAACCTCACATTTTAGACCCCTACCATCGACTCACCAGCCTAGAGAAACTGAGCAGAAGACCAAACACCATGTTGAGCTCCTTCTCTTTGAACCACTTGGTGGCGAATGTGCTCTGTGCGATACTAAGTGAGTCATCTCCGATTCTAACATAAAGAGACAAAAACATAGACTTGCAGATGTAATTTTTTTTTTAAATGAACTTAGATTGATAAGTTTCCAATCAAGAATTTTTAAATATTTGGGGAAATAAAAATATTATAAAAATAAAAAGTTGCGACAAATGCGAGAAAATCTCTGTAATTAAAATAATCAACATCAGTGCGTCAGGACTTGTTTGAACCAGAGAAAAAAACGGTTATCAGTTGTAATGGGAAGCATAAAATTGGCCTAGTTAATATTAAGTAAATTCGTGGCCAACACCAAATAGACGCTCTACACCTGGAACCTTTGGTGGGAAAAATAACTGAAGATAAAAAAAACTTCATATTGCTGTGATTGGTGATAGATGTCGCGTGTTGAGTGATTGTGGAGTGATTCTTCTTCTGTTTTTATATGTGAATATATGAGGATTATACTAGTCCAACACCGCAGACTACCAGCAGATTTGTCTTCATCTCAGCAAGCACCCCATACAATTTTTCTGGTGACAACCAGTTTTGATTAGATATTCTACTTCTATCCTGTTTCACCTTTAACTAAAAGATGTAAACTATAATACCAACCTTAAATATTGGAAAAGGATTGACCTACCCAACGACAAATCTGCCACAACACATCAGCACGTAGTTATTTATAAAGCTGCCAAGCGCGAATATTGCCTTTAAATAGCAGATAAAAAGTACGTTATAAAACGTTTCTTAAAAAATAAAATGCTTAAATGTAATCTAGACTGCAATTGAACTGTTTGTGTAAATGATTTATTAAACTTGTGTTTTTGTTTATTTAGGAGTCGTCTGTGCAAAACTTAACGCTATCAAGCCGATTTTATCTATCGCCACGCTTCGTCATAGCTATCCTCTCCAAAAATAATAAAGACGAAGTTTTTTCTACTGCACAACCCGAAAAAGAACAAATTAACAACTTACACGATTTTTAGCGATGCATTACATATTGTTAATGTCCATCCCTCTTATCACACATAGTCATATAAACCTGATTTCCCCCTTTCCCCCCCCCCCTCCACCTCAAATAACCTAGATGTGTGATGCTTTATATGGATGACCCCCTTCTTGAAAACATTTTAATGATCGAAGTGGAGATTGTACTGAGTGAAATAGGAAGAATATTAAATTTGGATAAACTCTTTTGTTGCTCGGAAGTGTCAACTGACCTGTCCAAGAGTGACCAGCACACTGAAGACGATCGCCCCCAGTCTGACGCCCAACCAGCGGTCAATCAAATAGCCGCCCACGACACACAACACAACGTTGGGCCAGGCCTCGAATGAGTAGAAGGCCATGAACTCTGTCTCTGAGAGTTCAAGGTCACGGACCATCACATCCTGCAAGGCTCCTGGGATGTCGTTGACGAAATAGCTTCCTGTAAGAAATAATGAAATAAATATTTTGAAAATGTAAAATAATCAACTTTTACATGCAATTTTAAAAAAATAAACGTCCATTCTTTGGTAAAAGCGTAAGTCCCAAAAATTTGTAAGAGACTAGATGTTTGCGTTTTCTTCGGAGACGACGTGGGTTAAAATTAAGTTTTAAAATTTAAAGAAAAAAAAAGATAGACAGGCCAGACTAAACAACATAAATACTTTGTGAACTAAATAAAAAAAACTTTACAATATTGTAACATTAGTGTTATTTTACTTTTATACTCTAAAATACCTCAAGAAATTGCAAAACGGTTTTCTCTTAAGCTAGCTTGGTTCGCTTAGTCTCTGTGTCTTATTCAACTAAAATGTTTTATTTCCCACTTATCGAAGATACAGTCAATGTCGAACAAAAAATGAGCTAGTAATTTTGTTGCTATTTCATCTGAAATTATTTTTAGTAGGGTGCTTTGCTGCCTTATTTTTTATTACTTGCTTAATTTAAGATTTCTACTAGCAGTTACGCATAGTGTGAGAGTGTATAGGGAATTTCGTGTAATTTACAAATTATGATAAAATTAGCTTTGCTTTGGCTAGAGATCTGTAACAATAATCAAAAGAAATGACAAACAGTTTCAGCAAATTATGACAAACCGCATCTTACCGAACAACAGGAAACTAAGTGGAATCAGTACCAGGCAGTAACGATGTAGCCAATGGCGAGGGTTGCATGGGTCACATGACTTTTCTCCTCCAATCTCCTGATCATCTTGTTTTAAGTCCTATTTCACATACATTTTTAAAACGTCAATACATAAACATTCAAACTGTGATTTAAAGATTAAGTGTTAAATATTATTGTTCATAACTGGCTTGCAAGTGTGTGCCCTTGTCTGCAAAGATTTGAAACGACGTACCGTCAACGAACATCACAAAAAGCCCAATGTCGATGTGCAAAGGAGGACCACTTTTTAAAATAAATAAACGTACTTAAGATGTAGCCTAGGGGAACTCATATGTAGAAATCCACTTAAATGAGATGGTATTTTGATGAATTACTAGTTGTGATCTATAGAAATAAGTAAGTAATTTAACGAACTTGATGTGTTGCATTCGTGTATTTGTATGCTTTCTCTGCTCCTCATAAAATAAAAAGCTGGATGCTACCTGAATAGGGATATGTCCAGTCAACTATTTATTATAAATTACTGTAGTCACTATATTATGGTAGGTCTTGTGACGTCAATGTCATAGCGTTGCGTGATAAAATTAATTGGATACTATTACTATCAGCACGAATTCGGCAAACTAGTATATAAAAACGTATGACGTATCTTTAAGTAACATCAATACCTTAGAATGTAAAAAAAAAATGTTGATGGGAAAAACTAGGTAGGTGAATTGTAATCTTTTTCTCAAAAAAAAAATTCTCAATTTCCGATTTTTATTAGTTTAATTAAACAAATTAAAATTATGATTTTGTGAAAAGAAACACACCTTTAGCATGTTTAAGGTATAATCTCGGTCACACGGCAAATAGCAATGGACAAGAGAAGTGGAGTTCACTTGTTCTGTGACCTCGGCATGCCAAGGGATTATTGAAAACTTAAGTCTTTAACATTAATTGTGTATATTTATTTGTGGCTATTTCGCTTTGTAGCAAACCTGCTACAAAATGAAAGAAGGTTCATATTTAAAAACAAAAATGTTGATTTATTAAAATTATTAGTCTTAAAATAAAAAATGTATTTATTTAATTATTTTTGATACTGTGAGATTGAACAACGATTGAACTGTTAATTATTTAAGGTTAAAGTGAGCACACAGAAAGGCAGTGGCGTAGCCAGGATTGTCTCAATGGGGGTTTCCAATTTTTACCCGGGGACAAACTTTCGATTTGCACCCCCCCCCATTCAGACTTTTTATTTGCACCCCCCCCCCTTCAAACTTTCGATTTGCACCCCCCTCATACTTTATATATATACCGAGGGGTCTATGGGAGTGGGGGTTATAACCCCCCTAACCCCCCCCCTGCCTACGCCACTGCAGAAAGGACATCGCGAACATAACGTTGTGACGATGTGCGTGAAGGTCATGGCGTAGGTTATGTAAGGTGAAAGGTCATTGCGATTCACATACGTATTGTTTTCTTTATTTGTTTTGCTAAATTTTTGCTAGCTAAATTAAAATTGCTATTTTTTAAAAGTAGAACAAAATTTGACATTTATTTAGAAAAACCAATCATGTTCTACCTTTTATCCCATTCGACATTTCTTGGAAAAAGAATGAAGTATTACTTAAAAATCATTCAGTGTACGTTCGTATTTTCTACCATGTCATGTTCATTAGCTTAACCGCCGCAGATTTCGATTTGAGTTCTTAAGACATTATTTTTAAAACATTGGTTTCATCTATAAGCAATTGAGTATAACATATTTATACCACAACGATAAATAAGGAAAATATAATTTATTTATGTCAAAAATATGTTGTATTATGGTGTGGATGGGGAGATTAACGACGCTATTAAAGGCTGGGAGTGTTAAAATCAAGGTAATTTTGTGGACATTGGGATTTGCTCATTAGTGGCAAATACAATGGAAACGTTATGAAATAATTTTGTTTATTCATCAGTACAAAAAGCTTCTACATTTTATGATTTGCATAGATTTCCATAACTCGCTTTATTTTTGTCTGACCGTTCACGCGCGGATGAGTGAAAATTGTACTCATAAAATAACATCAATTTTTTTTTACTTACCTGACAGGTAAAATTAGATTTGTCAAGCTTTGTCTCGGCATTTTTGTCGGTGTCGTCTATATCTCCCATGCTGAAACACGCTAATGTAAGGATGCTTTTGTTTTACTGACTTGACAAACGTGTGTTCTTTGGTCTGTTTTGGTTATCTTCTCATTTCAATTTGATTTCAAGTATTTTAAATTACGTTAACATTACAAGTTGTGTATAAATAAAAGGGAATTAACTCTCTTTCTAGGTTATCTCCCTTAATTATAAATAGGCTTTAAATTTCTTAACACGTTCTTTCAATTTTCTAGCGGAAAGATTGTAGCAAATGTGAACGAACGTAAAAGTTTGACGTGCTAAAATGTACTTAACTTTAACAATACCAGTATTTGCCAATACGTCTAATACTGAATAGGAAGGATTTGGATAATTAAAAATGATGATATACTTTTGGGTCGTGCCACTTACACTTTCACCCTCGATGCAAACTTGACTGGGTTTTTTTTAACTCAACCATTAATATAAAAAACCGACGCCCATAAAGCAGTCACCCCCCCCCCAGGAAAACGACGCCCATAAAGCAGTCACCCCCCCCCCCCCAGGAAAATGACGCTCATAAAGCAGTCACCCTCAGGTTTACGTGTTTTGAGCCTCGTCTACCACCCTTATGTTACACCCAACCCAACATTGTTCTGAACGTAATTCCCCACCATCTTTTTGTATGCTATTATGACTTTGTACAAGTCACATACATAAGTGGTAACGCCACACCCTTTACTTAATATAATACACAGGAACAGCGCGGGCGGGAGGGTATATTAATTTTACTCAATTAACGATTAGCTTTTTAGCAAATATTTATTCTTTATTATTTTGTAAGGAAAAAATATTAAACTCGCATTTTTAAAAATATGGTACTAACACATGACTAAGAAAATGGCTTCATGCCTATTGTGCAGACGATAATTTTAGCATTTGTCACGCGTGACTGGTTCAAAAACTAACACTTAAGGTCATTGCTACTAGAGATTTCACAACTGGGTTCACAAAATTTCACGAAATCAGCTTAAAAAGCCGTCGATTTATTTATTTATTTATTTGTATAATTTTTGTTTATTGTAGTGCTTTAAAAGCCGTCACTGTCTTATTGTCAATTATTTTTTACACATCTTCAATGAGAGCTGCTTTCACTTCAACTTATGTCATCCAAATAGCTTTAACTAAATTTGATCCACTTCTATAGCTATTTTGGTACTAACTAAAGTGTCATAATTTGACATGGCCTATCGCACTTAAATGCTTGACACTTTTCTCCCGAACTGGTATTGCTTTAGTGGAGTATTTAAATTTCATAATTATGGTATTCATTAATTAACGTTTATACACACTAACCAACAATCTAATTTATTTTCAGATACACATTGATATCTGGTGACCAATAGGTTTTAAGTATTGAGCTATTTAATTTATAAGCGGCCATAAGAAGTTTTTTTAAACCCTTTGATTGTGTAATAATTAAAGGCAGTTTACCCTAGACCAGGGGTCTCCAAAATACGTCCCGCGGGCCGGATGCGGCCCGCGAAGTCATCTTCGCGGCCCGCGGAGATCTTTTTGTCCAATGAAAAATTGTTTGTTGGTGATGGCTGAGGAACTTTGCCCAGAAAAATCAAATACATGCCTGGAAGAAACTGGCCCCCGAACTAAAATTTGATAGTTAATGCGGCCCTCGGACTGAAAAGACCCCCTGCCCTAGACCAAAGGGTACCAAGATATGTATATATATATATATATATATATATATATATATATATATATATATATATATATATATATATATATATATATATATATATATATATATATATGTTACGGTCAAAGCCCGAAGTCGGCCAATGCTAGGATTGGCCGGCCAATCCGCGCATTGGCCAATATCGCCTCCCATAGGTCGGTCAAAGTCCGAAACTTTGCTTGATTTCGGCCTTTGGCCGGCCAATCCGCAGACTGGCCATGGTAGACCGGCCAAAGTCTTAATTAGAAGATCATCTGGCTAGGGACGACCGGCCAAAGTCCGAATTAGAAGATCATGAGCAGATTTTGGTTTATTTTTATGCCGTAAGGATCACGAAATTAAGTCTGACGATAATAAGAGCAGTTTTTCGTGAAGAATTGAAAACTCACTTCTAGCATACAGTTGTTTTAGAACACCATGTGCCGTTCCTGATCAGTAGAAACCACCCTCGACGCTCATGACAACTGCAATCACGCTTCGGGGATCACCATGACCTCTGTCAACATCTGGAAAACGGATGCGTACATTGTCACCCACTTCGCCACCTTTAAATTTTGTATTTGATGTTTTAAGCATCTTAGCACCTTGAGTTTGCAAGCCAGTATGAGCTGCTAATCTGTGTTCCATGATGTCTTGTTTGTTGTGACACAATCTGCAGGTAATGTTCCCTCCGTACCCTTCGTCTGCTTCATTGGGTATTCCACAAATAGCATGGACATCGTTGCCACAGGATCCAAAAGAATGAGCTGCACTACAATGTTTTTCACAAACTATATAGAATCTGTTGGCCACATTATTGTCACGCAACTGGTCTGGGCGTTCCGACACGGCAGTAGATGTGTTAGCTGAGGATGTCGTTGCATTTATGGCAACCTCCATTTCTTGTTCAATGTTCTCAAGTTCTTCCTCAGTAACCATTTTATCGAGAGCCCATATATGGAAACGAACATGGATTTACATTTTTTTCTTTTGACAGCCATCTGCTATGTCTGTCTCATGGTCTGACGGCCCTTTTGATCCATGTCGCCTTGCATATTGAATGCTATACAAACAAGAGCTAAACAATACGTTACTCTCAATGAAAACGCACCCAGAATAATGAAAATGCGATCACAACTTAGTCTAGATAGAACATTGGCCAGGACATCCCGGCCAGTGCACGCATTGGCCGGCCAATGTACAAAATACGCTGTCAAGTTTAAGCGCTTAGGACTTTGGCCAGTACGTCTCGGCCAGTGCGCGCATTG